TACCAAAGTTCTTGTATTTTAGCTTAAAAACACACGCCTTTTCTCTTTTGAGACCTTGTCTATATAAACCTCGATATGTACCTGCCCCGTGTCTTAACGTTCCTCTGTAGATATCCATTCCATTGCTCTTCACAAATTTTCTGATCCAAAAAAAATATTTGACGCTGCATGGAGCATGGTGGATGTGAATTTGAAGCTTCTCCGGCATGTTCTTGGTAAGCAATCAGATCTTTTGAGAGATAGCCATCCTAAGCAACAACAAAATGTAGATGTCACAAGAAGATTAGAAACTAATGAAACTTTGATTCCTATCAGATTTAAAGACAATCTTATTTGCCATCAATCTATCTAACTTTAAATCAAGCTTAAGTAGGTGTCCTTATACGTAAAGTTAATCATGGTTTAAATGGAGGGAGAAAATAACTGGATACCTGCGACACATGTTTAGTGTTGACTGTTGTTACTAACAGTACAACAGGAGTTGCTACACTTTCACTGAATTTTCGGTAGGCTGATCCCACAGGCCATAGGTAGAGATTCAGCGCAGTTCCCCTGTAAATGGAATCTTAAGGTACATCACCAAAACGAGGAAAAAATGTTCTTAGCAATGGAGGTAAATCAAGACTGGCCGAGTGCTTCCTCCATCTATTCCATCAAGGATATCTAGCACAATCAGTAAAAAAATTATTTTCGTGGGGGGTGGTAAGACCTGCTTGATCTTTACAGAAAATCTTTCTTACCATACAAATCATCCTGAGGCGTCAGTCTGCTTCAAAATCCGCAAAAGACATCATGTTCCACACATAGGTTCTGCATATAGAGTTTATTTTGAAATGTTTTTTTTCTTAACTTGTTTCCAAAGTTTCTGCAAAAACAAAGAAGATAAAACATACAAAACAATATGATTTAGCTTGTGGAAGTCAACAATAACGTACCATTTAAACCAATGTTAACTGCAAACCAACGATCTCTCCCGGTAAAGCCACTTGGACCAAACCAATTAGATTGATTAGGGGATGCTCATAGAAGCTTGCACGCCTGCTATCGCTGACCCCAAATCTAATGTTAGTTTACTCGCACAGATTGAATCCTTACCGATTAGCACCGAGATGGCTATAGGCCTTGGCTTATTCCAGTTTCAGTTCAATGGAATTCTTCGCGGTGGAGACGGTATAGCGGAAGTGATGAATCGGCGGTTCCGCATCACCGGAGATGGAGGCTACTTTGCGCGTTTACTTGGTGAGCCATGGTTGAATGTGAAATTTCACAGTTTGTATTTGTTTAAATCAATGATGTTGAAGCGAAAAAGAAGATTTTGCATGGAAGGAGATGGAAGGAGATGGCATGATTTTTGATAAACGAAAAGAGATTGCTTTTCCCAAAATGACATGGCGACAATAATGGTTATGATTGGCTGATTTTTTCAGTCGACGTGGACACTGTAAAAGATCTTTATTTAGCCCTTTTTAATAGTGTTAGATTATAAGGTAACGACATGATTATAGAAACGCTATCTTTTTTTTTTTTTTGACAATTATGTCGTCTATCAATGTTTTGCTTTCAGTTACTCCTCATCCAAAATTTCTTAATTTATAATAAAACAAGTCAAGAATAAAAAAATAGAACATTTAATAAAGGTTTAAACAGTTGTGAATTTGAAAATTATTTTCATCAAAATTAATCAGCTATGATAAAAACATTTACAGCATAACTATCTCTGTATCAGATAAATACGTATTTTGGAAAAAAACCCATTAAACATAGAAAACCGATTATATTTTTTTATTTATTTTTCAAAACAAAGATCCAAAAGTTGAAGTTGAACACAATAAATATATTTACATATCTTTGATACACGTTTATTTTCTAAAAATGCTATGGAAAAATATCTTATAATTTTATTACAACATAAGATATATATTAGATATAGCCACATTTAAAATTTCATTGTTGAAAGAATTAAAAATAAATAATATTAGAAAACTTCAAAGCTGTGTACATCTTTATTATTTTTTAGTCGTTTACAATCTATTTGTTTAATATTATAAAAAATATTCATAACATTAATAAATTAAAATCATGAAGAGCAAGACAAATCAGAAATTTATTCTCAAATAACATTAAAGATACTAGATCCTTTCTCCGTGCTACGCGCGTATAATATATTTAAATTTGTTGCATTTATCATTTTTATTTGTATTTGAATTTTTGTATTTTAAATTATATTTAACTAATTTTTAAATTTGAAATTTTTTATATTTTCAGTTTGAAGTAAGTATTTTGAAAATAATTCATTGGTATTAATGGATAGTTTAGTTATATAATTATCATCAATATACCATGAAATTTATACTATTTGTCAAATATGTTTCTATTATATGTAACACGATTAACTAATAAAATATGAAGAATCAAGTTTGAGGTTATAGAGTAATGTAAACAAAATATAATTATGTATAAAAATTAAATTATCTTAGTGTAAAAGATCGGAATCTCATCTTGAATAAATTCACGAAAATAAAAAGTACTCCAGTAACCTACTTAAAATATAAAACCCCCTTTTCAAAAAAAAATAGTTAATAATATTTTCCGTGAAATAGTTGGAAACTGAAAATTGAAGATCGATCTAGAATAATATTTTAATATGTATAAAATATTAATTATAATAATTTTATAATATTACATGAATTAGAAGTCTTTAAAATCTAAATATATTTTATTAGCACAAATATTTTTCATTCGTCTATTATTTTGGCATTATAAAATATCGCTTTAGTGTTACTTGTATATTATCTTGTTAATAATATAGTTTCTTTTTCAGTTATTTTGAAATTATCAAGAGTATAATATATTTTAAAATTTTTATTTCAATATATTCAAATATAATGACTCATTTTATATGTGTTTTACGTTGAGTATATTTAATTTGTAGTTTTTATATTTAATAACACCTTTTGTGTGTTATCTATGTTTTTTAATAAATGTGTTTGTCATTTCATGTTTATTGCTACGAACATGATTTTTTAGTGATCAGTGATAATGTAATTTTAACATTTTATGTATTATATTTTATCGTATATTTTCTATTTATATTTTCCGATCTTCATGCTGTCATTTATTTTAGAATCATTTTAATTAGATAATAGGTTTAAAGATGTAAATAAAATTGTGTATGTTGTAAATTTAGACTTTTTAGAGTAACTGACCAATATAATTATGGAGATTATAATATGATTTTCTTTTACTAAATCTTTCAAAATGTGTATATTTTTTTTGTTTTATTTCGTATTTTTACAATTTTATTTCCTTATTCTTTAGTTGTAGAGAATTGCCATTTCTAATTTTTGTACTTTTATTCTATCTTTTGTTTGTTATTATTTAAAGGATCTCGTATTTTTTTAGTAGTGTATACGATATTTATATTGTTTACTATTTTTCTATAAAGAAAAGAGTATCATGAAAATATTAATGTAACTGAAAATATCTATCGCAAATATACAATATATTTGATGAGCATATTTTTTAGTCATTCTTGATTTATATATGAAAAATTTATTTGTAAATAAGTTATATATTGTTGTTTGTATATATCATGTATTCCCTCTTTAATAATTTAATATTTATATATTATTTGGACGTCATTTCAATTACTTTCTTGGACTAATTTCCAGTAATGACTCATTTTCTTATAATTTTCTAGTAAAGACATCATTTTTCAAAACTTTCATTATGTTTTTGCCTTCCATTTCTTTCTTCTTCACTCAACACTAATTACACCTTAAATGTCCTTGGTTGATTTTTGTTTGTTTTCTTTCTCCAGTTACAATGTACAGTTCGGCCAGTTTTCTTATCAAACTACTAATATCATTAGATAGAAAAATTTAAACTCCACGAATACAGTGAGTGGTTGTGCGAAAGAAAACTGATTTAGCCACTAATATATTGAGATAATATAATATTAAAAGGTATGAAATTTTTTCTCTATTTTCTTAAGATGGATATAATTTAGTTGTTGTCAATTGATTATATATCTCCGAGGTGTTTGTTTGGCTTGGTTTGCTAAAAATTTATTTTTATCATTAATATATATAATATGATCATGTTATATAAATGTAAATCATGTTTGATTATAAAAATTTGGTAGATTTTAATTATCCAAAATATATTTGAGATGGTGATTAGTAATGAGAGAATGCCTAATCGATAAAGACTTAATTAGAATGCCTAATCGATAAAGACTTAATTAAATTTGATTTTTAAACAAATTATCTTTTATTTTACATATTTGATCTCTTATGAAAATAAATTGTTAATCCCCATGATAAAATAACTTTTTAACTTTATAATCAATAAATGTTTAACTAAAAATTACGTTCATTTATTTATAGTGCATTACTGCATTATAGAACCTATATGGTTTCTCAAGATCTATATGGCTCAATGATGTTTACAATAATAGTTTGATAATTGATGCCCTTATAGACTAAGCCACAGGCCATGAAAGTTAACATCTATATTTACATTGACAAACTTCCATATATGTATGAAATAAGAGTAATTCACATTTTCTAAAAATTACTTTCTGATGTTCCTACACAAAATATCTCATATTTTTTACCTATAACAATGTACATAGAACACTAAAAACCTCGGTCTTTATTGTAGAGATTATGCTATATATAATCAAAACCTCCATAATCAATTTTTTATAAGATCTACACTAAAATGTTAATTTATAAAAATAAAATTAATTTACAATTCAAAATGTAACCTTTAATTTTCAAGCAAAAAAATATTTGCAAACCAACAATGGTAATATAGTCACTGAAGACTAATTTTTAATGGTCTAAAAAGATAAATAGAATCTCAATTATCACATGCTCATGTTGGCCATTCTAATGATAAAAGACAAAAAAAAATTAACAAATGTCTAGTTTTTTCACATGCTTATTGTTTTTTCTTGCTACAAACAGATTCCCAACGTTAATAGGAACAAAACACATAACTAAATAATGGTCATAAATTGTTTACAAAACAGAGTGGAGTTACAACTTACGAATGAACATGCTGCAACGGGAGAGAGAACTATTCTTGAATAGCAAGAGAATATTTTTATAAGGCTAACTTTCATTACACCCCCATGAAAAATATGTAACGCTTATGCAAACCTTCTGTGTTAGCCAGGTTTGATATGAAGCATCACATCTTTATCAGTAAGCACTGCATTTACTGGAATCACTCCTCCACCTAATGCTTTCCCAATTATCTTTCAAAAAGCAAACTCAAATGACTTTTGGATAAGCTTTATAATGGATTTGCAATATCGAATACTAATACAACATACCACCATGTCAGGACGAATATCTTCCCAGTCACAAGCTAAGTAGCTAACATCTTTCCAGATCTCGCTAGACCGCTTTGTACTTCATCTCAGCTATCATCAAAACGTTGTGTTTTGTACAGAGTTCTCTAACAGCTTTCAAATAACCCTCAGGAGGAATCACAACCTATAACTCCAAGGCAATACAAAACCATTAATATGATTCATCCTTTAAAACGATTATTATTGATAGAAAAAAGAAGGATACTTACTCCAGCTTATCCTTAAATAGGCTCAAAAAGGAATCCAGCTATTTTATCTCCCTTCTCTGCAATGATCATAACAATAACATGATCCACTCATTAAGCTCAAATGCCGAAAACCATTTAATCATTTATTCATACCTTTAAAGATCTTCTCAAGTGAACTGGCATCACCAAAACCAACTTTAAAATTCCCTGGCAACAAAGATCCGAACCCGTGAATAGCATCATTGTCACAACTCATAGAGATAAATGCTAAAGTACGACCATGAAAGCAACCACAAAAAAGGAAGATTATAGCCTGTAGAAAGAAAAACATGTTCTCCAATTATTTTCAATATGTTTGATGCAAACAAGAAGGATTCTTATGAAACAAAACTTCTATATTTGTTCTTAGGAAGCACCATCTCGTAGGAAGCACCATCTGGTAACCGAACATGTTTGTAAGACGAACTGCAAAGACCGGGAACTTATCGTTATACAAGGCTCGTGAGCTTAAACTGAGCGTCTCCACTTGTTCCTGCAATGCCTTGATGATCTTGAGGTGGCAATGTTCCTGCAACAATGAATAAAAAAGGTAAGAAACTTTCCAACTATGGTTGTATGTTTAATTGAAGCTGAGGAGGAGTTAAGATTTCGTTAACCTGAGTAACTGCAGAGTAAGCAGTAAGAAAGTCGATGCATATTTTTGCCATCAGGGTCCCATATGGTTGAGCCATTTCCATGAGAAAACACAACCGGAACAAGATGGTAAATATACAGTCACACACAAGATAAAATTTACAAAGTACATCAAGTAATAGACTAAGTTCTGAAAAACAAACAAAGCTCCCAGCAAGTATGCAAAATCCATTTTGAGACATATAAAGAACCATAAAAAAAAAACAGAACTGAAACTAAGGTATGTTCCAAATAGATAGAAAAACCATTAAAAATCAAAGGTCGGTTCGTATACTCAAGAGAATAACTTTCACTCTGAACCATGATATACACATCTGTGAGAAATACTATATATGTCGATCAAAAACAATATAAATAAACTTAAAGGAGTAGAATTTAGATAAAAGGAGCAAAAACCATAAACCAAAAAAAAGGATAAAGTTCAAAATTTCAGATGTGATTACGTCGACGACAATATCGAGATTGGAAATAAGAAGGGATTTTTATATAGAAGTTAACATAGAGAAACTGAACCAAGAAAAAAAAAAGAAACTGAACCGAGACCATCAATGAGAGTAAAGAATGTAGAGGAGTGGTTACTAAACGAAGAACTCGAAGGAGACGAAGAGGAAGCTTCTCAGATTCGATTTTGTAAAATTAGGGTGTCCTCACCGACTAAAGGTTAAAGGAATCAAATGCTAGAATAGACCAAAGGAGAACAAAAAAATCTCAAATAGACCCATGTTTTTTATTTTGTTTTACATTTAATTTTAAATAAAAATCTAGCTAAAATAACTAAAAAACCTAAAGATTTCAATATATTTACGAATCCATACCCTTACTATCCTACCCAGAATTTTACCCAGATCCGAAATCCGACCGAACTAATCCTAAATCTTCTTCTTCCTCCTCCTTTCTTCTCTTCCAATAGTTTTTTTCACTTTCAAAAAAATCAAAAAATTTCTTCAACCATCCACCAATTGTTTTATCTTTATCCCAAATTGAACTACCTATATTCATATTTAATCAATTATATCTTACCCAGAATCAAATTTCATCATTTACGTATTAGAATCAAAAAAAAAATAACGCAGAGTATTACTAGTACAACTGGTACAACTCTAACTAGTACAACTAGTACAACTACAACGAGTATAACTAGTACAAATAGATTGCGTATAACTAGTACTAATATAACTTTGCAATTAATATAGTGATCTTTATTTTGTTTTCAATGTATGAAGATAATAGAAAAGAGTATGATGTAAAACTAATAAAACATGTTAGTCTAATATTCCCTCTCATGCATCTGTCAAATACATGAAGTGTATGTTTTTAATAATATTTGTTTTGGATTAATGATTTGTTACAAGTTGCACTAGTTATAGTAGTTGTACTATTTTCGAAAAAAATTGATACGGAACTAGAAAAGTCCTTAACCATAGTTTTAGAAAAAAGAGTCAACGGAAAGAAGAATAAGAAGAGAGCATCAGTAAAAACTAAGCTCTCCCTTCCTGCCAAATTAATAGCTTTTGGAGTTACTTTTGAAAATTTAAGTTCTTTATATAAGTTATGTTCATTTTGGTATTTAAACATATGTTTCTTTTGATGTTAGAATTTTTTTTATAGCTTTTGAAACTATCAATTGGTATATTTGATTGTTTTCTCGTATGGAATACCGAATTGGTTTTGTCGATTTCTAAAATGTCAAAGTTATATTAGTTTTACCAGTAATACTCTTCTAATATATAATAAAAATTATATCAATTCTTTATATATCTAGTTTTAGGGGTTACCAATACTTTTACATCATAATCTTTAAAAAATATGTTCACGATAACGAAGAACATAGAATACTACTGGTACAACTAGCATAACTCAAACGAGTATAACTGGTACAATTAGAGCGCGTATAACTAGCATAACTATTACCACTAGAATACTTATAATTAGTACGATCGATACAACTATAACACATATAATTAATATAACTGATATAATTAGAACGTGTATAATAAATACAACTTTTCAACTTTATTCATACAACTTATAAGCATATCCATTTTCTGCTAAATCTATGTTTGATTAATGATCATTTAAGATTTTTAATGTGATCAGTTGTCTTGTTATCTTTGAATGTAATATTTTTGGACTAACTCATTATACTATACTTAATATTTGAGACTTTTTGGAGTTTTGTTGGATATTTTTTATATTATTTAATCTAAATAGTTATTTGTTTGACTAGTTATACTACTAGTACTAATTGTACTGTTTTTTAAATCTTCTTTAATCTCGAAGTCGAAGAAGACAGTAATTGTACTAATTGTATTGTATCATATAATTATACAGTTACCTTAGTGATACCACTATTTATGTTTACATGATTTTCCTGGTTACTATGTTTTGTTGTAGATGATATAGGACATGAGTGATGCCATATCGGTTGAGGAATCAACTAAGGAAGATTGTAACTACAAGAAAAAGCTTGAGACTGATGCAGTTGAAAATGAGGGGGCAGTTGGAAATGAGGAGGAGATAACTAGTATAACTACTCATCTTAATATTCAACTATAATGATTAAAACATGATACACATTAAAAAATGATGCACAATACAAAAATAAATAACATAGTTGTACTAGTTTATATATAGTTGTACTAGTTTTTGAGTTATACCGATTTGTACATAGTTGTATTTCGGCAGTGAAATCAAAAAAAGTAGTTGTACCACATAAAATTTAAACTTATACCACTTCTTTATGTGTACATGCATATGCCTTAATACAATGAAATCACCAGTTTTATTAAAATACATTTCATGTATGTTTTCCAAAAGTTATGTGGACAAAGAAGTTGGCAAACCTTAAAAGTATAAGGAAGATTATGCAAACTTATATGATTGTGTTATAATTACAAAAAAATAAAAAATATAGCTAATCCAATTAACAAACCTTTAAATATAAGGTATGTAATGTAAAACTAATATAACAATATAATAGTTGTAAGAGTTTTTGAGTTGTATCGGTTTGTACACAGTTGTACTAGTGTTTGAGTTGTACCAGTTTGTAAATAGTTGTACTAGTTTTTGAGTTATACCGGTTTGTACATAGTTGTACTTTAACAGTGAAATCAAAAAACTAGTTGTACCACATGAAATTTAAACTTACCTCAGTTGTACCACCTTTTTATGTGTATATATATCGTCGCCCAATACAATGAGATCATTGATTTTGTTAAAATGCATTTCATATATGTTTTCCCAAAAAATTGTGGACAAAGAAGTTAACAAACCTTAAAAGTATAAGGTATATCATATAAACTTATGGAGTTGTGTAATAACTTTCAATTTTTTTTTTCAAAACTTCAAATATATTAGGAGAAAAAAATCGGACTAAATACCGTTTTGGATATTTGATAGTGTTCTCATATGGAATATCAAATTGCTTTGCCAATTTTTGGAATGTCCAAGTTGTACCAGTTGTACCAATAATACTCGTCTAATATATAATAAAAAAGTATAACAATTATATCAATTGTTTATATGTTTAATTTTAGAAGTTGTACCAATATTTTCATAATAATATAGCTAATTTACTTAACAAACCTTAAATATAATATATATATAATGTAAAATTAAGAGTGTAACGTAATAATTTAACAAAAAAATTAAAAACTTCGAATATGATTATTAGTCGTTTCAATTATAGTAGTTGCATATTGTACATGAATTATAACATTTATATATCAGTTATACTAGTTTTATCAATTTTTAGTTATACAAGTTATACTAGTTTTACCCAGTTTTCTCTTATCATCCGACGGCTCAGATTATATCTCGCATTATCTGATCTAGTGGTTCACATTCAACTTTCATTAATGGCAAAAGGGTAATTTTGAAATCCTTGGTCCATGATAGATTAGTTTTGGTTGTTGGAGATTTTTTTGAAGCAATTTTTCTCTTTATAGATCTTGGTCCAGGTTAAAGGGAAAGTCGACCTCGGGTAAAAAAAACTCAAATGGGGAAAATTAATGAAGCCCATTTCGCGAATAGCATAAGAAATTCTTTGCAAAAAAATTCAGGTCCATCCGAACATCAACACATGCTGACGTGGCCGCAAAATAACACCTTATTGGTTGAATAAAATTGCTGATGTGACAGCAGGAGGGGGAAGGATTTAGCCCTTTTAATAGTGTAAGATGTTGGGATCTTCTGTAAATTAATTACTTAAGTAATTTAAATCAGTTACTTAATAATCCGAAGTAAATAAATCTATAGTCTTATATATTCATACAGAAACATAAAATTATTTTCAATATGTTTTCATAATTTGTTTTAAAGCAATATGTTTTCAGACATATTTTATACAAAGTCATTATTTTTAAGAATTTTTAAAATTAATTAAAAAAATGATTGACTAAACTATTAACATATATCTATGAGCAGCACTCCATTGTACTAATACGTTTAACAAACTGGAAATATATACGAGTTATAGAGAAAGTAATAATACATGATCTAACATATAAATTAATACATTTATATTTTTATTAGTTTTCCTCGCATTCAATGTTTCTATTGCTTCTTATAAGAAATGTAATTTCAGTTTTTAAAATAAAAATTCTGTAGTCTTTTTGGTTTTTCTATATTTCTTATTTTCCATTTTTATTTATTAATAAAATTATTAGTACGATTAATTGCATAATATTTAAGAAAATATAACGAAAATTAGATCACACAAAAGAAACAAAGAAAGACGAAAAAACATCAGCATTTGTTAATAATATTAATTACTAACATTCTGGAAAACAACTATAATAACTTTGACTAAGAGTTACTCTAAAGAAAAACTTTATTCTCTACTGGATGCATAGTCCCGCGCAACCGCGGGGGTTGGTTACATTGTTGATGTGTTGTGTAGTTTTGTGTATGAGACTTTGCTGTTTTTTTTTAACATTTGTTTATCTGGCTTATCTATAATGGTGATGAATGAAACATTAGAAGTCACACAACTTGATTAGTCTGATAAAAGAATAAACATCAAATTCATATGGGTTGATATTTTCATATTTTATCTTCGTAGTGATTTTATCGAGCATTCCCTTTATTAGTGATTTTATCGAGCATTACTGTTATTAGTGTTTTCATGTAAAAAAATAATTTAATGGAGACAAGACAAAAAAAGACATGTGTTTATTAGTGTAATTTTCTTTCTGAAATTATGATGTATATATATATATATATATTTAATTGTGATGTATATGAGATTTATGGCCGATCTGAATGGTTCGGGGTAAATATTTATTATTGATAAAATATGTTTTTATTTGATTTGATTATTATAACTGAATTGAAATGATATTGGAGGTTAGAACATGATAACATTTCTTATAAAAGTATCTAAAATGGTCTCATAAATTTTCAAATCCTTAAGCCATTTTGTATCCCAACAACCAGCATAAAAAATCATTCTGAATCTCCCTAAGCTTTTAGGTATCCCGAAAAGCCCAAATTAAAAAAAAAAATTATATGCAAACACTGCGTTTCGAATCCGCGCACTCGCGGTACCAACTTCTAGTCACCAACTTACACCACTGGACCATTTCATCACATATCATCGATA